AGTTTAAAAATTAAACCCGGGTTTTTGATCCTCTTGATTAACCTGAAGACGGGAGAAACAAAAAGGAGATAAAAGGACATTAAAGTACGGGAGGTGGGAGAACATTGTGGGGGAAGCAGGAGACTCTGACCCCTCCTTCCCCCCTCCCCCCCCCCTCCTCTACTTAATTGTCTTTTGTCACAACGTACCATCTGGCAGTTAAAAAAATAAAACAAATACTGATGGAACATTGGAGTCTAATACGCAATCAGCTCTTACTGAAAACAAGTTTCCAAAACATCCAATCATCTCTTACAAAAACGGAACATCCCTTAAGGACACGCTTGTGAAAGCAAAAACCAAATTTGAAGGCGATTATGCGACGCGACTGCAAAAGCCACATGGGAAGTCCGTGTCGGTCTCTCTATCCCTTATCAGTTTTCAATAAAGTAAGCAAGATTTGATTGATTCATCTTTGCTTAACAAGCGGGAGACTGGTTCAAGTTAAAATCGATGACAAGTCGATTCTAGCACTAACGATTGAGTTTTATCACTAGCGATTGATATTTTAGCACGAATAATTGAGTTTATCACTAGAGATTGATATTTTAGCACTAACAATTGAGTTTGTTACTGGCGATGGATATTTTGGCACAAATGGCTACCCATAGGTTGATTCAATTTTTTTTTTAATTCCTCTTTTTCTTTAAGGTCGCGACGAAGCCAAGTATACCCGCTGATTTTTGGTTCACAAACGATTCCTGTCTTCTGTCACATGGGAAACTTTTCATGTGGGGATGGAGGATGGACACTGGCCATGAAGATTGCCGGCACGCAAGTTAACTCCTTGTCTCCTTTGTAAAACTCTCGATATTATTGAAATGAACTTAGGCAAATAAAAAATGCAATTGTTGTCTTTCAGAGAACTTTCCACTACGATTCCCAATTCTGGAGCAACAGAAGTGCCTATAACTTTGCTGGAGGCAAGACTGGCTTTGATTCCCAAGAGACCAAGTTACCAACCTACTGGAACACATCCTTCTCCAAGATCTGCCTCGGTATGAAGATTAATAATACGCTCAAGTTCATTGTCATCAACAGGCACGCCAACTCACTGTTCTCACTGATCGCTGACGGGAAATACCGTGCCACCTCACTGGGTCGTAACACGTGGAAGTCGCTGATTGGTTCACGGGCTTCCTTGCAGCGCAACTGCAGGAAGGAAGGATTCAATGCAGTGGGAGACCCACGTCATTCCAAAGCAAGAATCGGCATCACGGCTAACCAGGAGAATGACTGTGGTACCTGTGACTCCCGAATTGGTTTTGGCACAGGAGGTCTACATAATGATTCCAACACGTGTGGGAATGAGGCAACGTACTGGCCAGATAATGGTAACAAGCACATCAAAGCCATGGGTTACATCCTGGTACAGTGACAGGAAACCCAGTCCAACTTCCCAAATTTTAAGCCAAGAAGCCATCATGAAGAAGGAAATGTCGTGTCCTAAAACCTTAAAGGCTAATAAAGCAATAAGTTTAACCTTCAATTATTGTCTGGTTAGCTTTGTCTCTATAATTTTTTCAACGAAATTCAAAGCATTTCATTTGCGCAAAGCCAATTCAGGAGTTGTTGACGAAGTAAATATTGGCAAAGAGGCCATATTCGATGTTTACGATACGTCCACGTCGTTAAGTGTGAGCGAGTCAAGGGAGTGTAACACAGAAAAGAAGAAGCACAGAAAATGTGACTTCTTTTATGTTCTTTTTGTTTTTTCTTTCCCGCGCGTATTGTTCTTTACGCTCGCCTCGCGCATCTTTCTGCTCGAGTGAAAAACATGAAAAATGACGCCAGTTTTTACAAAGTAACTAGGAACCCACGGGCGTTAACGATTTTTATAGTAAATAATTAGCTCAGATATGAGAACTAACAGAATGCAAAAGTAATACCCTCCCGAAGTATTGCTTGCCTTTCTCGCTTTCACCAGAATGACCGAATTTTTGTGTACCATTTGTTCCGGACGTCATTCTCTAAGTTAAATACGATACTACTATTAAAAAGATGATTGTAAGCTCACCATTCGAACAGATTTCTTTCCGGAATATTTCCGGAAGTCATGACAGATATTCTTCGTTAAATTCGAAAAATTGGCCTAAAAGGCTTGGTACGATCTCATCTCGTGATGTCATTGGCTTTTCTACTCGAGCCTCGTAAGTCGGTCCTATTTGGTTTAAGGTTCAGATAGGAAGAGATAAAATCAGGAAGTAACGACCATTTTAAAAAACACGATGAAGAAGAGTGCCCCGCCAAACTATCTTTTAATGTTATATTTTTAGCTCGCGATTTTTGGATTTTTGGATTCCAGGGAAACAAAGGTTGCACTAGTCCTGACACCACTCTTAAGCCAAACTGTTCTTGGGATGGTGTCTCCTCACACCTTTTCAGTTGCCTCTTTTCGCAGACGCACACGTATGCTGAAACAAAAAAGAAAAGGAAATCCAAAATTGCAATATTTCATCATACAGTTAGCTTGATGAAGTTAGCCATTGGTATTCTTATCCTCGACAGGCCACCAAATTTGGAAATTTCGTGACCTTGGTTCAAAAGGATGGTAATTTTATCCATCACAACCTATTTGATCCCTATTTGCCTTTCTTCAGTCCATTGGGAACTGTAGCAATTAAATGAACAAACTCATCTGGAAAATTTTCAATTCATTAATCGATATATTATGAAAGCATGATTGAAAACTCTTACTCTTTGCTTTCTATCCTTTCTGGGGTAAGCTCTAATGCCAGTTCTCAGGCCCTTCCTAACAATCTCTCGGTTATGACTCCGGCAATTCGATCGGATTTCGCTGGTGACGGAAAGAGGTAACGATAGTTTTCTTCCGTTTCTTTGTTTTGATTTTCACTTGATCGTATCGCTCTGCATGTATAATAAAACCTCCAGAAGTGTTGGCTTGATACAGCCTTTGGATCACATAAAAATCATACAAAAAAGATGCAAACTGAATTTACTCTTAAAAACATTGAAATATAGATTTAAACAGGCTTCAACCGATTAATACATTAAACCCTTTACCGTTAAGAGAGACAAACAAAATTTCTCCTAAAATTATTTCCCCTGAATCAAACATTATAACAAACAACTTAAGAAAATCTTAAATGTTAAATTCTCCTCAACAGCTCCATAGGAAATGTAAACAGAGAAGTTTGGAGAACATGAGTGTTTATGTTTGGGTGCAAATTGTTAATTAATTCAGAGAACTAATTCAGAGAACCAGTTTGCTTTTTCTTTGGCTATTTTGGTTAAGAAATATTATCTTCAGGAAAGATGGATTTGTTTTCCATGTTAGACTGAAAAGCTGAAAATCTCAGAACTTGAGACAACTTTGTTGGAGGACAAATGCTTGAAGCTTAACCCTTTAACCCCTTAGAGTGATTAGCATCTAAATTCTCCTCACGATATCACCCCTGTATCACACATCAAGGTCATGAGAATAAAGGAAATAATCACCAACTAAAGAAGCTCTTGATTGTTAAACATATTCTCCTTGTCAGGACTTCAGGAAATATATAGAGAACAGTATGGAGAATATTAATACTGATGTTGGGGTGTAAAAGGCTAATTTCTATCCTGTTTTAAAAGCAACATTTCTTGTTAACAAAATTAATTCATTATATGCTTCAACGATGCAGGCAGCCGCGATAAACAAATCGCAGAAGTTGTTTGAAGCACGAAAAGGTACTGGATAGGTTATCGAGCAGTGAAACTCACAAAAGATCTGTTGAACGCTTTGAAAAAATAGACGCTGATGTTATGTTAAACTGATACCCCTGTATCACACATCAAGGTCATGACAGTATAGGAACTAATCACCAACTAAAGAAGCTCTTGATTGTTAAACATATTGTCCTTGTCAGCTCTTCAGGAAATATGTAGAGAACAGTATGGACAATATTCTCATGCCGCCACAGACACAAAACGTTACTGCGTAACAATTCAAGTATCATCTTTAGGCAAATTTATAGAGTATATAAACGATGGCACGAATATTCTTAACAATAAAATCCCCTGATTAGTGCGCAATCACGAAACAGGCTTGTAGGGATTAAAGTATAGTCTCTCTGTTTTTTTTCCACTATCGCAACATATATCGCGCACTACTTCTACGTATCAAGCACTGTAAACGGAAAAATCAATACACAGACTTCCTATATATATATATATATATATTTTTTTCCTTCTAAATTTCTAAGACTCTTTTCACGCAGACCAATGTTGATAAATTGTTGAAATTTTACGCCTGAAAAAGCATTTGATGGAAGACGTTTTATAAACTACATGATTCGCATCTTTTAAAAACTACATGATTCGCATATTTTATAAACTACATGATTCGCATCTTTGAAGTCATGAGACAAATAAGAAGGACCATTATTTTGATCATCCAGCTGACATAGGCGTTGCATCATTATCAAATACTCATTTGTGGAGAAAGTGGAAAAAAGTTTCTGAAATATTCATTACTATTTGTCGTTAAATGCTCCAGGTACTCTAGTTTCCAACAATTTGTTGCAGGGACGAAGACGATTTTGGGCCTAATAAGGGCAAAATTACTCACTCCTGTTTCTACCAATGAAAGCCAAGTAAAGCATCAGAAGCATTTATATTTTCTGTTTAGTTTCTTGCTAAGAATATGAATACAGATTTTTAGCCTTAAACCACTGTTACGTCCACACGATTGACTATTAGGTGACCTGTCGAGAGGCTTCGTAAAAGTTAATTTATTTTAATCCAGTGAATTGTTTTCGTGCTGGAATAAGGGCCAAAGATATCAAATTAAAACGAAAAACAGTAAGGAAACACCCAAGTCTCATTGTTAAAAAAAAGAAAAAAGTAAGGAAGCACCCAAGTCTCATTGGTTAAATAAAAAAAAAAAATAAAAATAAAAAAAAAAACAGAAATTTTTACCATAACAAAAACAATTCAAAGAAGTTTTTTCCGCATCAATTTGCGCATAATTCCAGAAGTCAGTCGCGGAAACCTGGCGATCCGCGCGATGAAGAAGTCGATTTTTATCTTTTTTCTGTTACTTTTGTTCTTCATGATACTTGCTTATGTCTCATCACAAGGTTAGCCTCACCATTACTCATTTATGATCGGGAATAGAGAAGGGACATTAGTCCTTCATAATCATAGTAACCGTTTAACACCTGCATGTTATATGTTTAAAGGAAGTTTTGTTATTCATTTCCACAATAGCAAAAATGTTTAAAGATAGCTTAACACTTTCTTAAACTTCTTAACCAAATAATTTACTGGTGATGAAAAGATACTTTCGCAGATAGTTTGTTTGAGTACCTTTATGTGAATTTAATTGCGAATGGTTTTCATTTCTCCTTTTTGTTTTGTTGTGGTTTTTTTCTTAATTAATTCGTTTTTTATCGAGCTCATCATCCAAGTTGATATATTGTAATATTTCCTACCTCTCTATCACTTCTTTATCAATTTATTAATTTTTTTTGTATTTTGTATTCGAACATGTAAAAAGTTCACACTCGTAAATTTTATTGTCTTCTTAGTCTTTTGTTATGCCGCTCAGTCTTCTTATTTGTGTCGGCTGGAGTTGCTTTTGTGTTTATTGCGCTGATAAAGTTGGATTTTTGCCCCAGTTGTGATCTAATCTTTCTCCTGACCAGTAAATAACTCTCAACGTCAGGGAGTATATCGAGAAATTTGCGATTCCTGCTAGATATGTAGCTTTAAAGGAATAATTTATTCGGAGGTAGAAGACGTTTTGCAATAAAGATCTTCTGCAATGACAAGCTCTTTGCAAACGTTTGATCCGGCTCATTCATGGATTTCTTCAACGACTCAGTCCACTTTACAAATTCAAACCTGCGAACTTTGTCTCTACTGAGAAAATTAATTTTTTTTTTATTTTTGGGGAATTTTCGAATGGAAAATCTTCTTACTTAAATATGTGCATTTTTTGTGGAAATTAATTGCCATCTGCAAGTTTCCTGCGGATGTCAGTACGGATAATTGTTTGTAATTTATCTAGAAAGGTATTCATCTAGAAACTAAAATAGATGATAAAAAAGGGAAGCAAATGGATGGATGAATTTAAATGAATACATTCCAACGGAGAAACTATCAGTAAATCCCCAATTGTTATCATCATTTTGACGTCCCTAAAGGCCATCGCTTTTACTAGTGTTTGCCTTCTTTCGTGTTTTTTTTATCAATCTTAAAGGCTTTTGTGACGCAGACCAATGCCGCGTGTTGGAGTTTACCCCTGAAAAAGCATTTGACGGTAAACGTCTCATAAACCACGTCATTCGCATCGTTGAAGTTCTGACAATGAGTTTTTGTGACAATATGTGTTATGTGGAACCTGACTGTGTCAGCATTAATGTTCATAAACAAGTGAGTGGTCATGGAGGCTACAAATGTGAACTGAATAATGTTACTCACGAAAGACACGAACACGACCTGGAGAAGAAAGACGATTATTTTTATCATGCAGCTGAGGTAGGTGTTGCATCATTAGCAAATACTCATTTCAAGTGAAAGAAAAAACTAGTTTCCGGTCGTAATCGTTGCAATTGTTGCTTGAATTCTAATATCACTGTCAATATTTCTAACTTTAGCATTATCATTATTGTTGGTTTAAATGCTGCTCGTTTTCCATTTTATTCATATTTCAATGTATGATATTATTTTCGCTTCAGAGCGCTTGTGTTGATAACCCTTGCGATAACAATTCTACTTGTCAAAGCGGTTTTACCAACAAAGGATATCGCTGTTTGTGTACCACTGGATTCAAAGGTCCAAGGTGTAATAAAGGTAACTCCTGTCATGTCAAACCGGTCGTAAGCTCGTGTTCACTACAGTTTTATATACAACTTCTAAAGGCACCTGTAAAGGTTAAGGTTCGGTTTTTTTTTTTATAAACTCACACAATAACCATGCAGCTCTTAACTAACCCTTTGCTAAAGAGCTGCTTCAAAATTGCAGGACCATGACGTCGTATCCCACGAAGGTCTCAATTTGTTTTTCACATCTTATTTTCACATCTCCAATGATGACGTTGTAATTAAAGAAGAATATTTTGAGATATCGATTAGTGTGCTACAGGAACACAAGACTGCGGTAAAAATGCTGTTTCCAACAATACCAAAGGTTCCTATAACTGTCCAAATAAACCTGGATATTCTAGAGATGATTGCAAAGGTAAGCGTGACCAAAGCCCTGATTTTATTTTAGCGAATAAGGGAATGGAAACTAAACACACACATTTCAGCCCTTAAAATGATTAAATTGGTCATGTGTTTAGGGATTTTCCCTATTGAATCGGTTGCCATGAATTTTACAGATATAAACGAGTGCGCTGACGGAACATCCAAGTGCAGTGCTGATGCTATGTGCAACAATACCGAGGGATCGTATCGCTGCAAATGCAAACCAGGATTTACCGGGAATGGACGGACTTGCAAAGGTAAAACAGAGCCTTGTTTCAGAGTCTAATGATAATTAACTAGATACTGATAAATGTAAATATATGTTGCCTTATTGGTATCATCAAGCAAAGCGGCGGACAATTTTGTATTTTTAAAAGTAATATACTTTATAAACATAGTGAATTTGAAAGACGGACAACTTGTCTTGCTTAATAATCCATACCCAGATGGGATGATGTTACTCTTGCAAGGCCAAGAGAACTGCAGAAAAAATTCAATACCCTTAAGACATCGGATCTAACGTGGGTCTCCATTTGTTGTTTACACTTTAATTTTAAATCTGCATTAGTTTTAAAATTAATTGCAGTGATGACGTTCTAATTAAAGGAGAGTCTTTTCAGATATCGACGAGTGTGCTACAGGAAAAATGAACTGCAGTGCTGATGCTGTGTGCAACAATGCTAAGGGATCGTACAACTGTACATGCAAACAGGGTTACTATGGAGATGGAAATATCTGCCGTTTGGGTAACATTTCTCCTGCTGTATTTTTTAAGCTGTTTTTCATACTGTTTCTGTCTGTTTAGACTACTGTAATGAGAAGTTCCGTTTATAATAAATATGTATATCGAGATATAGATTTATAGTTAATCGATAAAAAATTCGACAAATGACTTGTTAGAAACTACCGAGAATTCAAACTAAAAACAAGCTAACTTCTTGATGGACGTGGAAACGCTTGCCTGTGTAGATAGCAGTCTTATGGTAAGCATTAGAAGCGTCGAGCAGCTTAAGTAAAAACGGCGAGGCCGCGAGGGGCCTGGTAAGCTGCTTAAATTCGCGGCTCCGCTGCTTTTATTCTCATCTAGCGCATTAGACACCGCTAACAATGCAAGCTACGAAAACACGAGTGACCAAGAACGTTGTGTATTTCCTATTGCACAACTAAATTTTCCCTTTGAGATTATTTAAAAACACCATTCCATCTTTTTTTCTTAAATGGTTTATTGCTGTTGATATTCCTTTCTTTTTTTCAGCTTCGACGTGTAAAGAAATTTTCGACAGGAATGTGTAAGTCAATTAATCACTAACAAGAACAAAGCTGGAGCGGAATTTAATGAGAGAATATGAAAATAACAGTACCACTGAAAATAATCATTTTAAAATAATATTGCGGCAAGCATGACAACCTTGATGATAAACATACACATTAGCTTCTCTCTTGAAGGGAATCGCTTAATCGAAAAGTACTTTGAGTTATTTACTAAATATATGAAAGCCATGGCCCTCATCAAGTTTGATATAAATCTCTCCTTTTAAGAAGATTCTTTATTTAGTAGGGCGATAAAGAGTGGCGAAGTTACCCTGCACTTAGACTCGAAGCCAACTTCTGTTTTCTGTCACATGGGAGACTTTGGATGCGGAGATGGAGGATGGACGCCGATCATGAAGATTAATGGTAGTAAGGTAAAAAATCATTTGCTGAGAAATTCATTAAATAGACAGAGAAAAAGTAGATGGGTGAAATATGGCTGCTGTCTCCTTAGGCAGCGCTCAAGCGTATTTTTTGACCTTGAGCCTAAAACAGAAGTATTTTTTTTTCAATAAGGTAGAAATTAATCTAAAAATTTATTGAGTATAAAGGTCAACATAGGCAAGCTTAAAAGGATGGGGGCAAAAATTGGCTGCGGTTTCCCTGACAACTGCCCAAAGTTGTCTTTACTAGACGAGCCACCAAGAGTCACTCATGCGTATTTAATAACCCTGAGACTTAATCGTAATTTCAGCGTACCTTCAATTACGATTCCCATTTCTGGAAGGACAAAGAGACCTATGAAGAGGCTGCTGGCAAGAATGGCTTCGACTTACATGAAACGAAGTTACCAACCTACTGGAAAACACCCTTCTCCAAGATCTGCCTTGGTATGCAGATTGGTCAACAACTCAGGTTCATCTTCATCAACAAGACAGCCGAATCTTTGTATTCATTGATCGCTGACGGGGAATACCGCGCCACTTCGCTGGGTCGTGACACGTGGAAGAAGGTTGTCGGTTCGCAAGCCTCCTTGCAGCAAAACTGCAACAAGGAAGGGTTCAATGTTGAAGGTGGTAACTCAAAAGCAAGAATCGGCGTCATTGCTAACCAGGAAAATAACTGCTTGACTTGCGATTCTAGAATCGGGTTTGGTACAGGAGGAAATAATTCGTGCGGAAATGTAGCGACACACAAGCCTGATAACGGAGACAAGCACATCACAGGCATGGGGTACATCTTGGTGCACTGACAAGGCATACGATTTACATTTAAGGTACGAAGCCATTATAGATTAGTAGAAAATTAGTTTACAAACTCAAACAAGGTAATAGAGCAATGGATTCAAACTTATCGTATTGTTTGGTCAGATCTGTCTAAAATATAACTTTTTTTTTAATTCCAGTCATTGACGTCTTATTTGTATAAAGTTAGTTTAGGCTGTGAAAACGAAGAAGGAATCTGCAGTGAAGCACCTAATTAGCTTGTAGATTAAGCGTAATTTTATGCGCTTCTCAGTCGAGCTGATAGAAGTACGAGGCGCACGCGAAGAACAATTCACGCGCGGAAGGAGGAAAATATAAAACGTGGGCTGTTTGTCCTCATGGTAAAGTGTCTCAACCCTTTCACAGGGATAATTATTTGAATAAAGACGTATGGCAAGATAGAGACTAATCACGCGTGGCAAGGTTAGTTTCACCATGATTAATTTCTGAGTAGAGAATGCTGATTGGGTTGAGGGGTAGCCATGGGTAACATTTAACACATGTTATTTTGTTTTAGGGTGGGCCTTTCTGATCCTCATCCTCATCACTAGGAGAGCTTCTCTTACTTGTTACTTTGAATGTAAACTATTATCTTAAAATTCCAGTTATTCAAAAATAAACAAAATAAAACAGATCTGTCGCAAAACAACAAGGATTGATGCAAAGAATTACCGAGACCAGGATTCGAACCTGGGTTACTGCGGCCACAACGCAATGTCCTAACCACTAAATGATCAAGGCTAGTCATCCGATGAAAATGAAAAAAAAAAAAAAAAAAAAAAAAGGCTAAATTTAACATAAAACAGGTTAAAATAGGTCTTAAGGTTACGAGGGACTCAAAACTCCACTTAAATAATTTTTACTTTGAAAAAGAGTTTAACCACTTTTAACTTTCTTCCTTTGAAAGAGAAAAATGCCGCGTTTTGAATGAAAAAAAAAATAAAAGAATCTATGTGCATAAAAACTCAGATTGATCAAGTGAAAACATTTATCCCACCATTATTCAAAATAATCTGGTAGCACTTTCATAAAAGGAATATGTTTATTAGTAAAATACCCAAGTTCTCGACACCGTTGCCTTTCATCGTCAAGGAAATATTCCAAATTAAGAATCACGCAAAAAGGGAAATAAAAACTTTTTCATCCAGTAATTCGACGGATAGCTTCACTTACACTTTCGTTCACTTTACCGAAGAAGTTTTCCTCCATAAGTGGTGGGCCCACGTTACCTTGTTCATTCAATAAACAAGTCAGGTGCAAGTACTTCAGTAATTCTTTGGGGAAGCCAGTGTGGGTTTTCAATCCCATTACTTTGTGTGAAGCTACGATCCTGTTATCGCTACCTTTACTTCAATGGGTGTGGCCAAGACTTTATCCCAAAGTGATCCATACCCATGGCTGAGAATTGAAGATACCGTGGTGATATTCGTGGGTGAGTGGTTCTAAACAGTTCGCTTTTTACACGCAATTTCTCCTTTTCTTCAAGCCGGACCAGATTTCTACCGCTGGGCATTTCATCTCCTCGTTAGAAGAATAAACAGCGCTTTCTTTTACACTTGATGTACACTCTGTTGGGAATTTGCTCTGATCTCGATTCGCACAGCGCTAATGGTCCTGAACATAAACATTTGAGTATGTACTTTTTTCCATTTGTACCAAACAGGAAAGGGCTGGTAAGCATTCTGCAAGTACTCTCTGGCTTCATTGAGTCTAGTGAAGAAGAAACAATCGGACATGGGATATTATTACAACTCTCAACCCGTTTTAGAAGAACAAATTGCAGCTTGCAATCATGGCCGAAACAGCAATCTATTTGGATCTCACTCATTTGAGCCAGCGCCTCCTCGTGTTTGAAAATGGAATGCATTATAGTTCTCTGATTCTGGCTAAAATTCCAATGCTAAAATTCAAATCCTATCTCCTCCGGTAATTATTCCGAGTGCAAGTCTGTAAAATATGAGGATTCTATGAGTTCACACGTCTCATTGTTTCTCACACATGTATACATCTTTTTTCAGTTGGGTATAAGTTCTTCCTTGTAAGATATCTTAAAAAAACTACAAGCATCAACATCTCGCCATGCCGTATACAAATATGTAACTCTGATTTCGCGCCAAATTCCTCATACCATTACAACTTACCTAACCGCAGCGCCATGCGAGTAGCTTCAGATTTTAATAATTTTATTTTTCAACAACCTCTGCAAGGAGTATGAACATCGGAAATATAAAAAATTTGCCATGCCGTATGCATTTTTATAACTTTGATTTTGCACGAAATAACTCGCACCATGACTACTAAGTACTTAGCTGAGCGCAGTCCCGTCATTTTTGAATATGAAGTAAACATTAGAGTGTCAAGAAGACATAGCGATTCAATAAAATGAAACAGAAAAACTTGATATGTAACTGGTGTTTATGGAACTGATCGCAGCGCGTAGAAGGAGCAGGACATTTTTGGACAACACAGTTTACATGGTTAGATGCGCGCAGGGCAAATGTAGTTGCCTGAAGATGTACTCATTTTATCGAGAGCTTATGCTTATTTAGTCATCAAGTTTTATCAGGTATGTGAATTGAAGAAAAGATTACGAAACCGTACTGTTTGGGCCGACTAGCGGCCAAGCACGAATTGCGGACTTATATTAGGTCACATGATCAGTAGCACATGTTTTAGTTTCATGTAGTGCTAGAGTAATTTCGTGTCAGGACCTTGGGTGCTTTGTTCATTTTGATTGTTGAAGTTTTGTGCTTTCCCTACTGGTTTATCGCATAGAAATATGTAAGTACATGTGCCTCGTTTTCCAGTTTCGCTTTCGCTCAGTGAGTTGTTAATTTAGGTTCTTGTTTTCAGTTTTTACCGTAGGTGTGCGAAGATCAAGTCAAAACAACACGCAATGTCAAATGGTGAAAATGTTTAAATTTAAAAGAAGGTTTACTCAATCATGGAATGACTTGTATTGGTGCGGCTACGCGTAAAAGAGTTCTCTGCATATCGTCCCCAACACGTACTACGTACGAAAAAGGCTTGTTGATCTAGAGGCGTGACTCAGGACTTGACCAACAACCAAAAAGCTTTACAAAGTTTGCTTTAAAAATATGCGTCTCCAGAATTATTGACAAACCATGACATTTTCATTTTTACTTCTTAAGTTGTGTATCGGTTTTGTTGTACAGCACTGAGACGGTCTCACGCTCAGAATGAACTTGTAAAGTTACTACTTGACTAACAAAAGCCTAATTGCTTCCGATATTCAATTTTTTTTGCTATGGAGAGCAGGAGAAATACAATAAAGAACCACGACGCGTGACATCTTGAGAGAAAGAATATAGTGCGTGTTATTTCCAAGTCTAATCCGTGACTGTCTAACTTATGTAAACACCTGTAAGGGTTGCGTTACATTTGAAGTATGGAGTGTGTCACAAATACCTAACAGTAATTCGCCCACTTCGGTTAAGTGGTGCAGAATAACGCTCTGTGATTGGTAACCAGGGATGGTGACCTCCTTAACTACCAGTATTACTCAGATTTCATCAGTTAAAAAGGCAGTCAGGAAATTAAAATAATAATAATAATAATAATAATAATAATAATGATAATAATAATAATAATAAGATAGAATTTTCCCATCAATCTATGTTTTTTGGGAAGTCGGTCTCTTGAGGGTTAAGAGCCATGAAGAATTCGATCTTTATCTGTATTATGTTAGTTTTTTGCCCCATGATGTCTGTACTTGTGTCTTCGCATGGTTAGTTTCTTTATTATTGATTACTGAGCAGGGGTTAGCGAGGGGGAAATTAGTCTCTCTCAATCGTAGTTGAGATGCAGTCTCTCGAAAAAGCGGTTCTGGGCTTTTCGCTTTAAAAATCAATTTCTTTCAAGAAATCTGTCTCAAAGTAAACGAAATCATTTTGTTTTTTCGAATTATTGCAATTTTTTTCCATTCCAGAGCGAAAATCGCTTCCGCGCTCAAAGGCCCATTTTTAACATTGCCGATCATTTATATTTGATGCCTAAATTGAATACTTTGAAGATTTTTTATGCTTGAAGATGCCATGAGACAGAGAAAAATCTCCTTTCCCATCTAGAAAAAATATCGCGGCCGAAGGTAGTTCTTCACCGCATAAGCGACCTCTAGTTTTGTTTATCACTTAGTTAAAGTAAAAAAAAGAAAAAAAAAACTGAAATAGTCAAGTTAATCCAAAGTATTTCTCGGCGTCAATTAGTGGAAGTGGTTCCTAATCATGGTACTAAAAGGTCAGTCATTTTAAATTGGAAAAAAGCTGTAATCTTATGAGGTAGTGCGCGACAAGAATAATTTCTTCAAAGGACCCTCTCTGCTATGTTTATATCCTATGAAATCGCCGGTAAATAGTATAGTTACGAAAATTTCCTAAATAAAATAGGTGGGGTGATATTTTTTTCATTTAGGTAGAGCCCGAGGAGTATGGAAATATAAAGATATGTTGTGGTCTCGACGAACTTCTGGCACAGCCGGCCAACATAGTTTGCACATTTTCGAAAATTCCAACCAATAATGCACTAAAAGCGGAACCAATTACATACGAAATTTACGTCTTAAAATTGTGGTTGATACTTTAGTTTAGCACAAGGAAGCTTTTTTATGTTTGATGATGCCATAAAAAACAGAATTTAGGAGAGAATTTTGGAGAGAAATTCTCCATCCTCGCCTAAAATAATAGTAGGTAATTTAGTGTTAACAACTGGGTTGAAAACGTAAATTAGCCACCGTAAAGGGTAAAAAAGCTGACGTTTCGAGCGTTAGCCCTTCGTCAGAGCGATTAGAGGAATTGTGGGTTGTTTGTGGATTAATATGTTGGAAGTGGAGCTACGCCATTGGTGGGAATGTGGTGACGAGAAAACAGGAATAAATTAGTTGAATGAAAAGCGCTCGTTGATTCCGTGGGGATTAAGGGTGCCGATTTGGAATATAAATTTTTGTTCTAGTGTTTTACGGCTTTCCGAA